ATAATGGAACTCCATAGGGCCACCACCATGGCTGCTTCCTGTGCTGTCAGCTAACAAGGTTCACTGTAGAAACCTGTTTCAACCTGGGATGAGCTCCTTGTCCATTGCCTCCTACAGCCCTGACTTCAGTGTGGGGCTGCATATAAACCCAGTCAGTCTGGCTCCTATCTTATGAAGCAAATAATGGGCATATGTACATAATGATCTCAGGAATGATTTGCTCTGAGACAAAAGGGACCTTTCACCTGGCTTGTGAGAATATAATACATAGATAATATATCTATGCCCATTAGATATGTACTAGACACATGTAGAGACGGGAATAGGCTAGTTGAGTATGCAAGGGCTCTCTCTAAGGAAAGAGTGCTCTGCTGTAACGAATCTCATTTTCCTTCCTCCACTCATATTCAAGCCTGACTTTCTCCTAAGGTTCTGTAATTAAAGGTACACCCACTCAAGCAGTGAAGAATGCATTTTAAAGGAACGAGCCTCGAATCAGCAGTCAGTGCAGTTCATCTGTGATCTTGGAAATTACTTATTATCTCCATGGTCTCCAAAATAAGGACTACAGTAGACTTATATCAGAAGGCTATTTTGAAGAAAAATGAGATTTTGTCTACAAAGCACATTTTGTCTCGAAGTACTTTATACATCTACAAAGCCTGGCATATACTAAAAGCTCAATGAGTATCAGCCAGTATGCTATCAGGCCTGATAGTAACTTCTTATTTTGCCCTATTCTCTGCTTTATTTAAATTCCTGTAAAATACAGATGAGCTGAAAATATTATGTTAAGTGAAAGAAGCCAGACAAGAAAGGTGACACATATTGTATGATTCCATTCATATGAAACATACAGAATACGTAAACCCACAAAGTTGGGTTTATGGCTCGTGGACCCATAGTTGTCAGGGCCTGGGGGAGGGAGGAATGGGGGAGAAACCGCTTATTGGGCACACGGTTTTATCTTGGAGTGACACAACCAGGTAGAGGTGATGGCTGTGTGACATTGTGAATGTACTAAATGCCACTGAATTTTTTAATTTAACATGGTTAATTTTATGTGACTTTCACTTCAATAAATTGAAAAAAAAAATACAGTATGGACTTAGTTAGAAGTTGCTCTTGGATTCGCTATGAGACAGGATGTGAAAGGAGAAATCGATTGGCAACTGCCTCTTCCCAGATGGCAGCTCTTCGTCCTCCTGGGGGAGCACCTGAAGTCATGCCCACATGCTCACGCATTGATATACAGCTCTGACAGCCCTGTGCCGGGCCAATGTAAGAACACACCCAGGCATTGCTCAGATCCATCCCTCTCATTTCTCCCAGTATGAATTCCTTTGTTTTGCTTTGTCAACCTCTCGCTTTCTATCTCGAACCCCCAGTCTTGCCTCTGCTTTCATACTTAGGGCTTTGCGTTCTTGTCTGGCATGCTTCTCCCTGACCCAGGCCCAGCTTCTGATATGGTCCCGCTCATGCCATCCAATGGCCAAAGTTGTTAGCTCAGCCTAGAAGAATGTTTTGTTTTGTTTGTTTTGTTTTCTGAGCAGAAAGTCTGGATGAAAACAGGGAAGTTAGGGAAGTTCCGGGTTAATACAATAATTTCTAATTCTGGGGCTCCTGGCTGGCTCAGTCAGTTGAGCAACTGACTCTTGATTTCAGCTCAGGTTGTGATCTCAGGGTTCTGAGATGGAGCTCAACATCAGGCTCTGAACTGAGCATGGAGCCTGCTTGAAATGCTCTCTCTCCCTCTCCCTCTGCCCCTCCCCCACCAAAAAATAATAATTTCTAATTCTTTCACTACATCTGTTTTAAGGTTTATTAACATAAAGTTCTGGCTTCTGTTTCCACCATGCGATATGGTCTTTATGTTCTGTGTCTGGGCAGCGCCCCTCCTACCTCTTCTGAACTGCCCTTCACAATGCTACACCACAACGAATATTTCCATCTCTCTAATTAGGGTTGATGGAGGCTCATGAAACCTGCTTTCCTTGATGGTGGCTTCCGGACTGCATCACTTGTTTCAGCTGAAGAATCACCCTCAGCAAATTCCTATTTTGGATTTGCTAGCTTCCATAATTATGTAAGCCAATTCTTTAAATATCTCTTTCTTCCCTCTTGCTAGATAGATAGATATATAGATAGATACAGAAATAGTTATAAATATCTCCTATTGGTTCTTTTATAGTTTATAGATGTAACTATTCACCAAGGGACCATGCTATTATGAGCTAAGTGACTGTCAAAGTAGAAACACCACAAGGCCCATCTATAGGACAGCAAAAGTGTAAGTTCTTCCTCCATGCCCCTGCAAGAATTTTCTATCTGTGCACATTATTCTGTGACCCAAAATATTAGTTTTATTTTCTTTTTAGTGGCCCTGACTTAAGCACCAAGTATTGAGAGTTGAGGGACACCCAGTAAATATTATTTATCTTCCTTCATCGTTTCTAACCTCTTAGAAAATGATAGAGAAAAGCAGAAGATCAGTAAGTCTGATACCAGCAGATGTGGCTTATAACTGGTGACTTCTAGATTTCCCAAGAGTGGGTCTCAGAATGACACAACCATGCAAAGTCTTGGCAAGGCTGGACCCACACAAGGTTAGCACGCTGTCATGTACTACGTTTCTAAGCTTTGCAGCCAGCCTATTCTTCCAGAGGGAGCAGTGACTCTCTACATCTCACCTGCTTCCTCCTCCCAAATGTACCACACCACTTCCTCCTTTCTGCGGAAGTAGGAAGTGATGGATAAGAAAGAGGCCAGAAGTGTGGCTCTGGTGGAGCTCCCTCCCCATGGAAGGAAACACTGTAGAAGAGAAAGCAACCCTCCAGCCATACCACACCTCCTAATAGCTACCCCTCTTCTATAGATGGGGAATTCCGGCTTAGCAAAGGCAAGATCTGCTGTAGGTCACCCCACGCATAAGTAGTTTGGCCGTAGTTCAAAGCTATTTCTTGTGGGGGGAATCTGTCCATGCACTATTCTTCACAAAATAACATCAGCTTTTCATAGGAAATAGAGAACCCCCTTTGACATGCTTTATGCCAATGAAGTGTGAACTGAAGCATTTAAGGAGGTGGTACTGAAATATCCACATTCATTCTCATAAAGATCATGGGCTGGTGGTTTAAAGAAAAAGATTCTTCAGGCACCTGGGTGGCTCAGTTGGTTAAGCGTCTGCCTTCGGCTCAGGTCATGATCCCAGGGTCCTGGGACGGAGCCCCACATCGGGCTCCTTGCTCAGTGGGGAGCCTGCTTCTCCCTCTCCCTCTACCCTTCCCCCCACTCAGGCTCTCTCTCTCTTTCTATCTCTCGAACTGATAAATAAAATCTTTTTTAAAAAGATTCTATGCATTAATTCTGTTGATGTTTTGTGTATTGCAATTATGCCCTAGGAAGTTACTTCTTGATTTTTCACTCTCTTTATGTCTCTTTTTAATTGAAAAATTAATTTTGCACCAACTGTATAAAACATACTTTCAGGCAAGTTCTATGCATCTTGTTTGAGAAATTTTTCTGTGCCTCAACATAGTAATATATCATTCTATACTGCCTTCTAGACTTTGTAATGATTTTCTTTTCTATATCCATTATTCATGTGGAATTGCCTTTTATATGATATTAGTTATGAGTCCAGTTTTACCTTTTCTTCCCCTTAAGTTCACTTAAGATTATTGGTCAAACATCATTGATTTAAAGGATTATGTTTTTCCCCAGTCTACATCTATATCATCTGTCATTTATTAACTGGAAGGAAAGCTGGTGGCTTCTCAAACAGGACTGAGTAAGGACTGCTTCTTAAAGGATTGTTTACATCTGACCTTAAAATAGGGAGAGGGGCACCTGGGTAGCTCAGTCGTTAAGCGTCTGACTCTTGATTTTGGCTGAGGTCATGATCTCAGGGTTGTGAGGTTGAGCCCCATGTCAGGCTAGGTGCTGGGCCTGGAGCTTGCTTCAGATTCTCTCTCTCCCTTTGCTCCTTTCCCCCCTCAACTCACACTTTCTCTCTCTCTTAAAAAATAAATAAAAGATAAAATAAAACAAAATAGGGAGATTCTCCTGAATTGTCTCTTGGGCCCAATATAATCACATTCCTTGGCTTCAGCCCCTTTGAAGCCAGCAGTGGTGTGTCAGGCCCTTGTCACATTGCATCTCTGGCTCTCCTTTCCTTTGTCACATTACCTCCATGACCACAACTGGGAAAAGTTCTCTACTTTTAAGGCCCCATATGATTATATTGGGCCTCAGAGACAATCCAGGATTAGCAATCTTAATTCTTTTTGCAATGTTTGACTCCCATTTGCCATGTAATATAGTCGATGGGTCTAGGAATCAGGATCTAAAGAGCTTTGTGGGGCTATTATTCTGAATACCAAAATGTCTGTGTCTGAGAGTGTTATCAAGGAACCCAGGAAGAAAAATATAAGTTGTATCTTGCTTGATACTGACTAAGCATTCATTGGCAGTAGAAGGGTCTTGGATCTTCAGCTGGGGGGCAGAATCTAAAAAAATAGGGACACACAGCGCTGTTGGAATAAGAAATAACCAACATGCATTTCTTTTTCTCCTGTGAAAGATTTGGCACAACACGGACTGATACAAGAAAATTTGAATCAAACAACTTATTTCTATTTATGCAGATTTGGGGACCTTAGAATGACACTGTTTTATGATTCCTTGAAAAGTTGGTAAATGGTATGGTGGGGAATCAAAAGAATAATCCTCGGGGCACCTGGGTGGCTCAGTCATTAAGCGTTTGTGTTCAACTCAGGTCATGATCCCAGGGTCCTGGGATCGAGCCCCGCATCGGGCTCCCTGCTCCACGGGAAGCCTGCCTCTCCCTCTCCCACTCCCCCTGCTCATGTTCCCTCTCTTGCTGTCTCTCTCTCTGTCAAATAAATAAATAAAAATCTTTAAAAAAAAAGAATAATCCTCATCAGCAAATAAAATAAGTCTTTATTATACTGTGTTTCTATCCACAGATGGATCCCAAGTATATAAATTTAAGGACAGTCAAACAGATGTATTCTCACAGTCTTAGTTGTATGTGGTAAACAGCCAAACGAAGGAGAATAAATATGTCAAACTGATTGGAAATGCCAAACCACTGTGATCTACTAAAATGCGACCTCATCATACACATGTTCAGGAGACTACTGAAGGGTTGTTGTCATTATTTGGCAAGAAAACCACCACCTGTGGAAAAAGCAGAACATTAGATTCTTATTGTCTGTAGTTAGGGGGGGAAGAAGTTGTCTCACATGCTTAGGAAAAATATGGTCGCTCAGCACCTTCCTTCAGAATCCTGATACCCGGTGGGTCTATGTTCCCATTCTTGCCTTAACCCTCCTTTCTTTCAACAATACCAGAAATGACCTTCATACCAGAAGAAGAGGACTCTTCAGTGTCTAGGGACTGTTCTTTGGCTAAGTGTGGTTGGCCATTTCCCTCCATCTCCACCTGTGCTACCTCCTTCAGAGATGATAAAGATTCTATAAACAGCATTTCCCCCCTTTCTCTTCCTAATCTGCCCCTGCAAAAAAAGGACACACACACACACACGCACACAGAGGCAGAGAGAGAGAACCCATAAAGACCCAGAGCACTCACCTTGTTGATGGAAGAGTCCACACTGCATGCAAATATAGAGAGAGACAAAGCAATGCAGCCTTCCACCAGAGAGGAACACCATTCCAATTAGCATTCCCTGTAAACCAGACAGAAAATCCCTACAAGTTATAAAAGGCAGAAAAGCAGGTGTTGTAAAGGGAAAGAATCGGGCAGGGGTTGTTGGCCACATTTCACATCTGGTGCTAGGTCATCTAGTTACAACATGAACCCCTTTCCTTCACAGGGATTCCTGAATTTTCTCCCAATTCAAATATACCAAATAAACAACTTGAACACGGATCGTTAGAATTCTACTCTTTTCATCATAGGTTCAAGAACGTCAGGTAAGTCCAGGCGTGTCCATACTAATTTTTGTTTGTTTGCCTGACTCCTCCCCACCTCTCATGACCAGCGTTGACTTCTTGGCTTTCACATTCCGTCGGTCTCTCAGCAGTTGTTTCTTAGAACAGTCTGCAGTTAACCCCCTGAACTTCGCCCTCATTCTGGTTGCACATTCATTTAAGAATATGAACGCAAACTTCCCTGTTACTTCAGTTGGTTGTTCATGGCCTGAATACCAGTTTTCCTTTTTCTCCTCAGATAGTTTTTAAAATCATGAGAAAAGTGCCCCTCAGAGAACTGAGTTCTTACAGAATTTTTCACTCACTGACCACACATCAGGGCCTTCAGACGTGAGTGGTATCGAAAAGCTAATTTTTTTGCTCAGTGCTCCTGGCAAGAGGCAAAGGCTTAGATCCCTTCGCCTTCAGGAGGGTGTCCAGCATCTACATAACCAATGGCCATGGTCAGTTCCATGGTGAGAATTTACAGAGGAAAATTCAGACAAAACCAGTTTACAGATTTCCATTATGGGGACAGAATATACTTACTGTAAATAAACTTCCATAGGAAGACCTCCATATCACACCTCTGTACATGAATATTTCTTCAGAAATTATCATACTTGTGCCAAACCCTGCTACAGTAGCACAGACTGTATTCATTCCCAGGCTGCGCTGGATCTGAAGAGAATGAGAGAGAGAAGTTGTTGCCAACCCTTCTGCTGTTCTTCCTGTGTTAGACTTGTCAGTCAGGGCCATTCAGCGGCTCTGAGTTGAGTTTGGAAATTTACTGGGGCATCTTCCCCAGTCTGAGGAAGAAGGAAGGAACCCCTGGCATAGTTGCAGCTTCGGCTGTCTCAGGCTCAGGCACAGGGAGCCTGTTGCCCATGGAACTTCACAGAGCACAGAGCTAAGCCCTTCATTCTTGACTACTTGCCACAGAGGAAGCACTTCTAGGGGACCCCCCCCGAACATTTCTAGGGTCCTTCTTTAGAGAACCAACAGGTTCTATGTGCTGTAGCCTTGTAGCTGAGCAATTCCCTTTTCACTAGACCTACCTGAGCCACAACAATGAGGCACTTACCAGATACTTGGTTACTTTCCTTCCAGCAGCAATGGACAATGCTCCAGATGTGAGGAACTGGCCAAAGAGAGAGAACCAACCCACTCAGAGCTTTCACCTGCACTCCCATCCTCACCACATCCTCCTAGCTCCCCCAATTCCCCTGCCAATATTATCTACCCAAACAGTCAGCCCAAGCTGAGGACCTAAACAGCAGTGCGTGGATTTTTGAGAGGGAAGGATGAAGGTATTGCAGATACCTGAAAAATTGCAAACACTGGAACAATCGCTAATACTCACAGAGAATGATCCCCATATGTGATAGCCTATTTTAGTGGTCATATAACATCGATGTCCATAGTTAAATGGAGAAAAAGGACTGATTGTCACACCCAGGCACAGCGTTAACAGCCCAGTGAAGATCTGAGCCACCTGGAGGGTAAAAGACATCCGTGAAGGGCAGCTTCTCAGGAGGAAGATTCTCTCTTAGATCAGTGCACATTAACTTCTCTCCCACCTCTGAGACCCCAAGCCTGAGATGATCTCCCAGGAAGATAACAGTCTAACAGTCTACCTATCAAGTCTTTTACCTTGTCCAACGCAGGACATTGACATTAGCCTCCAACTATTTTTTCATGTGATTGCTACCTAAGTAGAAACAAGTTTTTTAAATTCCAGTGATGGACAGCTTCACAACACTTCTTTCCACTTCCTGAATCTATAAGGTTTGTGCAGTTCAGGATGGCTCCACTCAGTCCCCCACAGTCAATGATCTAGAGAATTGGAGTGTCATGAGGAAATCCCAGTCCCATCTCAGGAATGGTTCCTGTCCCCACAGCCAGTGCTCTGATCTTGTGCCCACTCACCCCGAGGATCTGGGGCTGTCCCTTCAGGAAGAGCAGCAGACTTTTCTGCTGCTGGGAGGGCAAAACCCAGGTACCCGGCTGGTGCAGTTGGGTTATACTCTCATTTTCAGGAAGGTTTATCGTGTAGTCCTGGGCTGTCTCTGCCTCCAATGTCCCTGTGTTACTGTTGACACCAGGAAAGAAAACACGTCTCAGCATAGATTCACATTTAAATATCTTCCTTGTTCAGTAGCAAAGTCCAATGGCAGGGGATTTTGTGTCTCTGGGACATGTACCACATTTTACTTCCATGTTTTGATTAGGGTATAACCCAGATTTTTCCCATACCTACCTAAGCAGATAAATCGAGACTGAATTACAGCTACCTATCCTCAGCAATGTACACACAGTTATTGATCTTAAAGCAGGGAGTCTAGCCCTACAAGACAGAAATCCGGATATTTACCTCTCCCCCTCATCTTCCAGAAGCAAAAGCAACTGCCCATTCACAGCAAGACTGCAAGCAAGAGTTTTCCATTCACAAATTTCCTCGAGCTCGACTTATGGAGAGCCCCATAGTCTAGGCACTTGTACCCTCCCACCTAGATGCCTTCTCAGAGACAAAGCATGGGGTTTGGATGAGAAAAGCTTTCTTCCTACCTTTGCATCTCCTCAGTACACACAAATGGGTTATTGTCCCTTCTGGTGTGTGGTCTCTAACTGACAGTGTTCAAAGACAATGGCCTGCTCTGATGTGTGATGTGTGAAGAAAACATTGCCCAAAGTCCTGTGTTGGCCATTTGTTGCCTGTGACTTATCTCATTCAACCTGCCAGATGAGTATCTGTGATGTTCTTTATCTTGGTAATATATCCCTAAGATAATAATCTAACTCCACTTCTCACGCACAAAAGACTGTATCAAAGCTTGCACGTGTTCTCAACACCAGCTCCTCCCCACTGCTGTGTTCCTCCTGAGTTCTATGCAGAAGTCTGTGCATGCCAGAGCCTCACTTATTTGGGCCCAAGCTACCTTGATTTTATAAGTTTTCATAAACCAAAGCTTTGCTGGAGCCCTTGTTTTTAATTAATGCTATTTTATGTTATTTTATACGATCATGAAGTTGGTTTTATTGCATAACATCTTTAGGCAAAACACTTTCCATATTAAACTTCCTGGTTGTATCAGCAATTTTTAGCATAATCTATGTGATTTTTCTGGACTTGTAACCCAGGGTATACCCACTTCCCTAAATAAAAGTGATGCTGTTCTTCCATCTAATTTTAGCCAGATACACCACAAAGAAGAAATATTTCCTAGTTATTTATGGCATATGTGCCTGTGAAGATCAGTGATCATTTATGTAGATTGTATCTCTCTCACAAATTCCTTCCTTCCTCACCTCAGCTGGTCCTCTTTCAGGCTGGCACACTGATTCTCAAAGACATCAGCTTTCCACCAAGATCCAACAGTATTTTCTAAATAAGAGTAAAAGCCCAGTGATGATGATGGCTATGTGTTGTATTAGGATACTTTGTCAATTCTCCTACAGCTCTGTGGTCCTTGTAGGCTGATTTCCTGAGGTAGCCCCGCCCCTGAGAAAGTGCTCCCTCTACTGTCCCTATTTGAGCTCGCAAGTCCTTTTCAATGTGGTAAGGTGCCGTGGGGGACAGTTTTGGTTTTAAGCTATAACCCCCACAGCAATCCCACAAGAATCCTCCTCTCTTGGACAAGGTGTGTCGTTGTGAGTCTAATACTGACAAATCCCTCCTCCACGGTGTGAATCTTGTTGTCACCTTGCAGTTCCAGGGTTTTGTGCGGTCTCAGCCCGTGTATAATAGTGCAATCGGCTAGAAATGCCTGGGAACATTCATCTGGGCCCCAGTGAGACTCCCACAGACATCTCCCCTTTCCAAACCCATGTTAGGGCTGGACCCACCTTTGTGGTTACTAGGATTGCGAAATGCCCTTCAGCAGCAATCATCAAGAAAAACCTGGAAATTACACAGCACATTGGGGTCACACAGCAAGGTCAAGGGTGGGAGAGAAGGAGAGAGCAGGGTCCTAGGGTTCTGCTTTCATTGGGGATGAGGGTGAGGACCTAGGGTTTGGGGGACTCACTCTTTACTGGCGAATTTAAAACACAAGAGCAGGAATTTAAAGCACTGGGAAGAGAAAAAAAAAAAAAAGTGGCCCAAATGATCAGTTGGGGAAATCAACAAAGAGCTCTAAAACAAAGCAGTCAGTTGGAGGCCTGGCTGTTTCCCATGTGGCTGGCAGTGTGTTTATTCTAGACAGCTGTCTTTGAGGGGATGCCTCTTTGAAATGAACAAGTCTCAAAACCAAAGCTTTAGTTGTCAGACACTTGCATTAACAAAAACAAAAACTAAAACAAAAAACTGTCAGGGCTAACACTGCCTACCCAGGCATAGGAACTGTCCTCTGAGGGCAACTCTGTGGGATCCATGCCTTTACCCACCGTGACAGATTAAGTCACAAAACCTGAAGCTCAAAAATTTGCTTCCACTTAAGGACCAGTCATGTGCCCAAACATTCCTCTCTACTTGGCAGTATTTAGAATTAATAATATGTCCCCTTATTGTGATGTTAAGAATCCATGTCAGTAATGATCTGCCAGGCCTCTGCTGATATTTCTAGAAAGTGTCCCTAGTTCTTATACACTGTTCTCTTGGGATTCCCTATCCCCTTGGTCTTGGTCTCTGCTATACATGCAGTTTTTGAGTAGTAGGTGATTTTTTTTTTTAAAGATTTTATTTACTTGTTTGACACAGAGAGACACAGCGAGAGACGGAACACAAGCGGGGGGAGTGGGAGAGGGAGAAGCAGACTCCCCACTAAGCAGGGAGCTCGATGCGGGGCTCGATCCCAGGACCCTGGGATCATGACCCGGGCCGAAGGCAGATGCTTAACGACTGAGCCACCCAGGCGCCCGAGTAGTAGGTGATTTTAATTGAGCAATTTCTGAGGAAATAAAAATCTTCTCAGAAGGTCACAGAAGCAGAAGACTACCCAGGAAAAGCAACCTATCACCTCCTATTCTTTTTAGAGGTCAAGTTTAAGCAGGATCACTAACAATAATCAGGTAATGGAATCTTCCACTAATTTCTTATACCTAGTGCTCCCTGTCAGTCTGTTTGGTCTGTCTTTCCTGAGTCCTACTCGTATAAGGGTAGATGGGGAGTCATCCTGATGAGGAGAACCAAGGCAAAAGAAATGTCAATAAAATTAAATTTCCTTACAACTTGTAGCCCACTGATAAATACCTGAGACACACAGAGTGTGACATTCCTCAAGGAACTCCCAGCTGCCTTCATGTTAATGCTTTCCTAGAGACTAAGAGCAACCTTATCTTGACAACACCAGACCTCCAGGGTCCTGTTAAGTCTTCTTTAACATAGGGAAATCCCTTTAGAGACTTCTGATATCTCTACCCCTCCCCAGCTTAAAAGTATATAATCAGTTGCATCTCATAATCCCAGTGCAGCTCTTCCCGCCCATGGGTCCTGTCCTCGTGCTATAATAAGAAGCACCTTTTTGCACCAAAAACATCTCAAGAATTTTTTCTTGACCATCCTGCTCAATGGCCCCACATCAGTCCCACCATCCAATCCCCATCATGTCTGTTCACCCTGTTTTTGCCTTTTTATCATAAAATTGTACCACCTCTCTTGAAAACTGATTAGTGGTTTCTTTTTTTTTTAAAGAATTTATTTTATTTTATTTATTTGCCAGGGGGTGGGGGAAGAGAGAGAGAGAGCACAAGCAGGGGTAGTAGCAGACAGAGGGAGAAGCAGACTCCCACTGAGCAAGGAGCCCGATGTGGGGCTCGATCCCAGGACCCTGGGATCATGACCTGAGCCAAAGGCAGACGCTTAACCAACTGAGCCACCCAGGTGCCCCCGATTAGTGGTTTCTAATAAAGCTGAACATGTGCTTTCTGAGACAGATGTCAGGATAAAGAGAGAATTTTTGATAGTGAAGAAAATTTTAAATCCCGCCAACTCAGAATCCTTTCCACAAAATGTGGAAAAGACAGAAAACAGTTTTACTTCTTTTTTAATGTTAGCAAATTTATTTACAGTTGTACGGCCAAGTCTATAATATCCACAAATTTTGCCCTTTTTAAAAAATCGAGGTAAAGTTGACACACAATGTTATATTGCCTCCAGGTGTACAACATAGTGATTAGACGCATCGGCACGTTGCAGGGAAGGAAGAGTTCTTCCTCTGCCATTCAAGGTCTTCCGGCTGAACTAAGAATTCAATTTACATGACACAGATAAACAGGAGGAAAGAAAACAGTTTAATTATGTGTGCACAGAGGTCCAATAATGAAATTGAGGCCCAAAGAAATGACCAAGGCAGGCAGTTTTTATATATTTAGACAAAGAGGCTATCCATTTGGGAGGAATTTACAGGAAAAGGAAAACAGGTATTTAGGAGCTTTAGTAAGTAAGGAATTCTAAGCAGAATTTGGGCTGAGGTAGTAGATTAGTAAAAAAAAGTAACAAGGTTTATTTCTACAGCTTTCTTGCCTTTAAAGTCCCTTTCTCAGGTGATAAGGGTGTCCTTTTACTTCTTAGTACTAGAGGGTATTTTTCCATATGGGAGATTTGTTTCCTGCTTTCAGAGGGACAGAGGAAGTTCTGAGTGTCCTGGCAACAACTGTTTACGAAGTTGCTTGGATTCAAAATAATCAATATGCTGTTGTGGTACATTTTGGGGGTGACCTGACTTTGGCCCCTATAATGTTAGGCAGTGCTGACCACATGCGTAGCTACCACCTGTCACAATACATGATTATAACACCATCGACTATATTCCCTATGCTGCACCTCTCACCACTGTGACTTATTCATGCCAGAACTGGAAGCCTATGTCTCCCACTCCCCTTCACACATTTTTCAATGTTACCTTGAATAAGCATAAGCCCATGTACCAAGTACATCTGTGAGAGCAAATACAAGTTAAAAATAGAAGGATTAATTTGCCCTGTTGAAAATGAGAGAAAAGACTTTCCTCTCCCTCCCTTTCTTGTAATACTTACTTTAGAAAACTGGTAAGTTCTTTCTCTGTCTCTTTGAAATGTATGTACATCTTTTTGAGACAGGGAAACTGAAGAACTCCATAAAAATCTCCTTTTTCCTCCTTTTCCTGCTTCTATTCTTGCTAGGACCTGCACCTCCACCCCACTCTGTACATGCCTCAGAATGCAAATAACGTATGTACTTCTGGTAAGGGACAAGGAGTTAATGATTTCTCTAGAATAGATTACATCTAAGGAATGACCAGACAAAGCCATCATATGTGTATTCCAGACTACTGGCATTAAACATCTCAATGCCAAGGCCCCCTGGCTCTAAGGAATGACACTTGGGCCCTCATCTTTGTTCCAACCAGTTCCTGGATGCCTGAAAGGACATGTACACCAGAACTCCATCCAATAAAAAACCCCAGACCCTTAAGAAAGATGAGACTCATGCTCCTTTTCTTTCTGAGTGTCCTGGCTGTGCTCTTTACCTGC